GTTCCTCACAAGGAAGGCCATGACTCCCTATGTTAAATCCTCAAAATCAAGCGCGCGCAAGACTAGGCTGTTATAGATGTTGGTCACCCTAGGCAGTATCATCGAGTAAGCCTGCAGCACCTGTCCAGGCAGAGGATGCAGAGAAGCTTTCGAGTTTGGCTGCCCGTGGTGAACAATTAACCGATCGCTTCGGTCAATGTTTGAGAGATAACAACATGAAGTAGGTTGATGAGCTTTTGGTGCCTGCAATGCTCACTTTGTGTTCCAGTGGATTCCTCCTTAGGCTGTGGCAAACACAGATTTGCTTTAGGGGGCCTAGGGACAGGGATTATGTGGAGGATGGGGAATAAACCATATATTGCACTTGTATTGCAATGGTAGTGGTCTTACTCACCCAGAAACTGACACCCAATCTAAATGTTAAATCGCTCCTGTTGCTTTGGTCCCGGACTCCACATGTGGACTTCACACCCGCCTGTGGCATTGCGATGGGTCTCTGCTTACATGCAACCATCGGGGCAAAAGAGAAACCATGAATGCAATGCATTGTGTTTGTTTCTGACCTCATTCGATATTGTGCTTTGGTTGTCCCCTTTCATATCACTTCGACTGTCGCGCTAACCGAACTGTCTGGGAGGCCATGAGAACAATGCAAACGCACACGTGGTGCTTGCACAGGTGGACAATGTCAGCAGTGGAGAGACTTGGATAAATTATTGAGCACTGCAGCAGTCTTCACAAACTCGTATAGACTAGCTAGTGAGAGCAGTGATTTTTAAACAGAATGATCCAACCAGTTTTGATAAAATCAAATTTGATTTGAACAAAGTGAAAGACACATATCCCAAAATATTCCAACACCTGTTCCTTGTTCCACAAGCCCACCTTCTCAGGCAGTGTCAGCTGGTATGGCAATGCGAGACATCCGTGCACATGTTCAGGAGCCGGCCTCCAGAGTGAACAAGTGCTGGAGTTCTCTGTTGAATCTAGTAGTGTATAGTTGCTCTGGGAATCTCGAGCTATTATTTGTGCTTTTTGGCGCCCTTGTAGTTCTATCCCCTGGTTTGAGGAGAGGGGCGCATGTGTTCATCCAGACTCTGGGAAGCTTGGTGCAAGATCGGGGTGGAATGATGCCCGGGATTGGGGGAAATTCCATGATCTTCTTGGGGTGGAACCTTGGCCAAACTTGGATGGAGGTGTATAAACGTGCTGTGCTATGTCAGCCATGCAGTGTCAGCCCTGCCAGAGTGTTTAAGTTGCAGGTGTTAGTGTTTTCACCAAAAAAACTTTCCTAGTGTGTGTGTGTCTGTGACTGGGGTCTGCGTGTTTGTGCAGGCACAGCATATGGTGGCCGCGCCAACAAAAGATCCCAAGAACAATGGCAAAGTGAAGCTGGAACTTCAACCTGTCTTGTATCCTCACGAAATTTTACAATATTTGTATGACACCGTTGGACTTCGTATTCCAAGAGAAGATGTGCACACATATTGGACGAACGCGAGATCTTCTCGTCAGGCATGGTCTCTCGAAACGAATGCAGGTACATCCCACATCCCGGTTGGCCTGTACGGGGATGGAGCCCGCCTTAGCACAGTGTTCCAGACAGAGAACATATTTGGATTGTTCCTCAACCTGGTCTTGTTTCGGCCAGCATCTGTGCGATCCAGTCGCTTCTTGCTGTGGTCAGGGGAGAGGTCAAGGTTCTTCAAGAACAGAACGCTCAACAAAATCCTTCGCGTCCTTGTTTGGTCATTGAACCACGCATATGCTGGAGTGTTCCCATCAACAGATTACAAGGGCAACCCCATCAATGATCCTCGAAGTGGCCAGCCGCTTACAAAAACTGGAGATTGTTTTGCGGTGACAGAATTGAGAGGTGACTGGGAATTCCATGTGGTCCAGTGGAGATTCAAACACTGCTCATGGAAGACAATCACACCGTGTTTCCGGTGCCCGTGCCGCTCAAAGTCTGGCAACCCGAAAGAGCTGTACTACACAACAGACGAAACTGCTGACCCTTGCTTGCTTCAATTGATACAGTCTTTTTGACTTGTTGGGAACCACCCCGTTTCTTCTGATCAACCACTGTAGCGTAGGCCAGGGACAATGTTGCACCAGGGCACACTACTTGAATGACAAGACTGAAAAAGATTGACTTGATTTTTCCCTGTTTTCCACACCGTGATTGGAGCTCGCTGAAGGATTGGGTGAACAAAGACTTCACCAAGCAGTAATTTATGTCGCAAAGGCTACAGAGCAAGAACATCTGCCACACAGATTGTTTTAGACATCTTTGGATCTTTGGGGTCAAAGTGTGAACATGTATCTCGACACATCCAATCGCCCGAAAAAACCTCTTTCACAAAAAAATGGACCCTTTTGCTTGTCCATAATAGACGAGGTACCCTTTTGCTTGTCTAGACGAGGTCCGCTGGTGCTTTTGGAAGGCTTTGAACCAAGCATGATGCGTATTTGCAGCATGCATACCCTGAATTTGGGAATTATATTTGCATGCAATGGAGGATGCCTGACACCCTCCCTTCCAGAGTAAATTTTGTAACAAGAGAAGTTGCAAATTGTTGATAGGGAAGTCCCTTTTCGAGAAGGTTCTAGGATGGTTGTTGGAAACTCAACTTCTCTTGTTTTGTTTAAAGCTTTCTTGGTGTTCTTTCCACACTGTTTGCCCACCTTTGCTTCTGGGGCGCAAACCTTTGCATCATGGTTGATCAGCCAGTGCTGCACCATCGGATTGCATGGCGCAACTCAGGAAGATCCCATGTGAGAAAGTACAACACTTTGGTCCTGGTACCTTTCAGGACCAATTGGACAGAGCGTATGCAGCCTTTAAGGCCTGGTGTTTGCAACGGTCCATTCAACATTCTCAACCTCCTTTCAAAGTGAAGATGGTCGCTCGGGTGTAGAATTAGGAACAATTTGCGTGTTTATGAAGGATTCCTTTACTGTATGGGACCTGGTCACTTGGTTCCCCTCACCAAGCCTTACCAAATTTGTTTTACTGGGAGTTGGAACACTATAAGGTAGACAAGCGAACAGGAGATGTGCTCCTAACAGTCAAAGCTTGGAATGGAAGAATCATCTCTTGAACCGAGCAGCCAAAAAGACTCACACAGAGGTACAATACAAAACCCTCACAGAGGAAGAAAAGAAACAATTTGAGCAGGCAAAGAAACGAGAGCTGAAATGCTGGATGGAAACAAGTGCAGTGGAACCATTGCTTAGGGACAAGATACATCCCGATCGTATAATGTCATCAAAATGGGTGTTAACATGGAAGGAGGATGCTAGTCAACCTTCAGGCAGGAAGCCGAAAGCCCGTTTAGTGATTCGAGGATTCCAAGATCCCGAAGTGGGTCTGGCGTCGACCGAAAGTCCAACATTATCTCGAGACGGCAGAACGCTAATCCTTCAGACAATCAGTTCATTGCATTGGAAGCTCCAATCATTTGATATCAAAACCGCATTTTTGCGGGGACGGTCGGACGAAAGGGAGTTAGCAATGCATCCGGCGCCAGAATTCATCTAAAAAAAGAACATGTGCTTCTCCTTAAGGGAAATGCATACGGTAGAGTAGATGCTCCACTTTTGTTTTACAAGGAATTTCGAAAGCACCTTGAAGCAGTTGGATTCGAAGCCCGCTAGATAATTGCCTGTTTCTCCTCAGAAACCAGACCGACAAGAGCAAGCTTGACGGAATTTTGGGGACTCATGTAGACGATGGGATTGGGGGAGGAAACCAAAGGCTTGAAAAAAGCATTCATCCAGTTAGAGAAACATCTTCCATTCGGAAACCGAGAGAATCAGAGCTTTAAGTTCACAGGACTAGTACTTGAACAAAGAGAAGATCATTCGATAAGAATAAATCAAGCCGATTATTTGCATCGAATTGAACAAATAGATGTTGCAAAGATTCGTAGGAAGGAAGCCGAAGAAAAAGTCACCGAATCAGAATTGCAGCAACTAAGAGCTCTTTGCGGAAGCTTACAATATGCTGCAGTGCATTCAAGACCGGATATAATGGCAAAAGTATCTTTCCTTCAAAAGCGCATTTGTGATGCACGTGTAAAGGATTTGATGGAGGGAAACCGAGTGTTAAAAGAAGCAAAGGAAACATCCAATACATCAATCCTAGTGCAACCAATAGCAATGGATGAAGTAACATTTGCCAGTTTCGGGGATGCAAGCTTCGCTTCAGAGAACCAGTTGAAAGCTCAACAAGGCGTGTTCATTGCAGCGCGCACCAGGGAACTTGGAGCAAATAGAATATCAGAGATATCACCCATAGCCTGGCGTTCACAACAAATCAGTAGGGTAGTTCGGTCCACTTTGAGTGCAGAAGCATATGCAATGTCCTCATCCCTCGACAAATTGACTTGGGTGAGGTGTATGTGGGCAGTGATAAAGAATGGAAATTTCCGATGGCAAACTCCGGAAAGGTCACTTCAAGGAGAACCAAAAGCCTTATTGATCACAGATTGCAAGAGCTTGTATGATTTAGTAACAAAGATGGCAGCACCAAATTGCCAAGAATGGCGAACAACGGTCGAGGTAATCATGTTGATCAAACAGCAGTCAGCCGATATAGCTGAATGTAGATGGATATCGACAGCTATTATGTTGGCAGGTTGCCTGACAAAACCTATGGACTCAGCCTTCTTGAGACGAGTGTTGTCACTAGGAAAATTCCGAATATACGACGAAGACAGCTCTTTGAAAACCAGCCCGAACAGGAAGTTTAGTTCAAGATGGATAGAATCATTCCAAGATCCCTCACATTCGAAAAGAAAAGATAACGAATGTGAATCGATATGACCAAGGAAGCTGACCTTCGAATGTTCGATCGACCAAACCAAATGGGTTTGGCTCAAGGCCAAGGATCAGGACAGGTGGAACAGCGAGGAAGCCGTTGAACGCGGGGGACCGCTAGGTGTTGATTAGGTGGTTGGGTAGGAGCCCATAGGTAGATTTGTTTGGAAGTTTGGGGCGAGGAAGCTACCATTGTAACTTGGATTGAATCCAGTTACACATACATATATATATATATATCTATATATAGGCAAGCAAGTGTGTCACGGAGTGCCATGGAGATGGAGCATTTGGTAGGGAAAGATGCGGCGACACCCCAGGAAGGCACTGATGCACTCAAGAATGCGATGCTGGCCAGTCTTCGAGATGATCCACCACAAGGCTTTGATCCAGTCGTGGAGTGCTGGTGTCATCTGGTGTCGGATCCACATCGTCAATAGCCCGGGCATTTGTAGAATCTTGCGTGATCAATTAGAAAGCTGCTAGGCGCTGCCACACATTCAAACACTCAGACGCGTGGTGGAGGAGCCTTGCAGGGCACAGTGGCACAGTGGTCAGAGTTGGGTTCGATGCAGCATTGTGGATGTGTGTAGGAGTGGAAGAGTTGGCGGGGGCTTTGGAGGAGCGACGCTTTGTAGACTTAGTGACTTGGTTTTCCCTTGCGCGTTGCCTGGGATTGCGCTGTCTGTTTGGGCCGAAGGGCATTCAAGCACCGTCATGCAAATTTGAAGGAACAGCCTCCAGCCCAGGAGGTCAAGTCGCAGATCGACTCCAAGATTGGATCCAAAATTGGCACTTGACTCAGAACCAACAAGTTGGCCAAAGAAGTGACAAGTCTCAGCAAATTCCTTGCTTCAGGTGAAGTTATGGATGCCGTTAGATCCTCGATCTCCTCGCACGGGCAGAAGCTTTCGGCTGAAGTGGAGGACATCAGGTCGCAGGTGCCGCTGGAGATATACACCTAGTTTGTCTTTGCAGGGTGTTTTCCGCCCTCGCCCTCTCCCTCTCCCTCTTTTTACCGTGCTGGCTACATACTGTATCTACAATATACACGGTATAAAGTATGCAGCTTTCAATTGACTGTCACTTTTTCTTACTTTCTCCTGCTCTCCGCCTTTTTCAAACTCGTGGCCAGCGGCAGAGCTGCAAAGAAGATTCGGCACTGTATAACTTTATGTGAATGTTGAAGGGCGATAAGATACTTCGAAGACTTCAGCCAGCTGTTCTTGAACATACTGAGGGTCGGAAGTTTGAGGACACACTTGGACACACCTTTGCACTTTTGAGATTGCCCGTTGTCCTTCGTCCCATCCCGTGTGACGAGGTGGTGAAGCTTGAAGGGCAAAGCTCTAAAGCTGCGAAGTTGCAGGAGTGACCAGAAGATGCGAGAAGTTTAATGCGTGGCAAGCTAGCAGCTAGAAGAAGCTAGAAATTCCACCACCACCACCAACACAACATGCTAAACATGCACTGGCACGATTGCATTAGCAAAGATTGATGCACCTCTCTTGGCTGTGAGTCCCATCGAGGTGATGCTGGAACACGGTAGTCGTATAAATTCATAATAAGCGCCCAAGTTTATCATTGTCATTGATCGGGAGAAGTGACTAAGTGATGAAAGAAGACCAAGCAGGGGGCCTGGGCCGGGAGCCATGCATTTCTTAGAAAGACTTTGTGACTGAGCCCTTGCAGGATGCACACTTTTCCGAAGCAGAGGCACAGGCTGGCGAGAGCCGCAGCTTGAAGCGGGAAGCGTATTGGAAGTGTGTGAAAAGCACCGCTTTGAGTTTCAAGATGTAACTCAAGCCACTGACACGACGCGACATGTCAGTATCCTTCAGGTTGTCACCTTCCCTGGCCATATGGCCCTAACCACCTAAGCGGTGGGAGCTGCAGCCTAGAGCAATGGCGAAAAAGGGAGCATAGACTCCGAGAGCTGTGTTCCAAGCAACTTCGACTGTCTTTGGAAACCACATGGGCCTTTTAGCTACCTCTGTCCAAGTGACATTGGTAGCGGAGCGGTCATCCACGGACCGCTCCCTGCCACTCCGCACTACAACTACAACCACCACACCTTCCAGGTTCACTCCAACCTCCTCGGTAACTGCACCCACAACCTAAGCTTCTTCTTCACGCTCAGGAGCAGTGCTTCTTGACGAGCTCTACCTCCTTGTTGAGCGCTACCCCTTGGAGCTTGGCCTAGCTGGTGAGCACCTTCTACCCCACCTACCTGGCTGAGTATGTCATCAGAAAAGAAAGTCGAGCTTGACAATCATTCAGCTCGCGACAGTTTCATCCCGCTCTTCGATGGATCCCTAACGGGATATCGGGAATGGCGGAAGAGGATCACCATCTACTACAAGAAAATGTCCTTGTCCAAGAGACAAGGAGAGGCCATCCTGAATCTGCTGGGCAGTTTGTCCGGTACCGCTTGGAAGCTTTGCGAGGACTTCAACATCGACAAAGCTGAAGATCCCGAGGCGCTGAGTCAGATCCTGAAGATCCTCGACGGCTCCTTTCAGTATGACTCCAATGTGGAGATGCCGGCTGACTTCTCGGCTTACTTCGAGAACCTTGCTCGCAAGCCCGGTCAAACCCTCTTGAACTTCGTGACCGACCACGATGACCGGCTGAAGCAAATTGAGAAACATGGAGTTCGCCTTCCTACTCAAGTTCAAGGATGGTTCCTTTTGGCAAAAGCCTCACTGACCCGCGAACAACGGCAGATGATCATGACACAAGCTGCCTCCTTGGAACGCCCAAAGGTTCAGCAAGCGATGTTCGCTATCCTGTGTCAGGACTACAAAGGAGGAGGAAATCTTCTTCGCGATCGATGGAATCGCTCCAATTCCGGGAAAGGCCGGTCCTACTTCGCCGGCGATGATGAGAGTACACAAGATTCGGGCGAAGAAGACACCTACTATGAGGAGGACGACGCCTACTACATGAACGAAGAAGAGACAATGGACGACACCTGGTGGGAAACTTTTGATGCAGATGCTGCCTACTACCAGGAGGACTATGAGGAACCAGAGCTCGAGTTCGACCCCGGTGAGTACGATGAAGCATACGCATCATATGTTGATGCCCGAAAGCGCTTCAATGACCTCAAACTGAGCAGGGGCTTCCTCCCAGTGGTTGCACTACAGGATGCATCATCCTCGAGCTCTAGGTTTTTTCAGAGGCCCTTCAAGGGCTTGGGAAAAGGGAAGAAAGGAAAAGGAAAAGGAAAAGGCAAGAGCGCCACCTATCGCTACGACAAAGCTCCTGCCAAGCAACCAGATCCGAAAGGAAGAGGCCGTGCTGCCTTAACTGTCGCATGCATGCGCTGCGGTTCAACCTCTCACAAGACGGCGCAATGCACTCAGCAGGCAACTCCGAAGCCATCTACTACCTCTTCAGGCAAACGCCAAGCAGTGGAGAGCGTGGCCATCCTGAACGATGAGACCTCCCTGGTCATGTTGGAAGATGCTGCAGGCCACGAACGACCTGACTGTGCGATGCTGGATCCTGGAGCTTCGTCCTTCCTGATGGGATCAAAGCCACTAGTTCGCTATGTCAACCACCTCCAGCAGCTTGGTTATGACCTCACGCAACTGCAGCTCCATCGATGCCAACGAACCTTCCACTTTGGTGGTGACCATCAAAAGGTCAGTTCATGGACGGTCAAGGTCCCAGTCTATTTGAATGGACGACACGGCCTGATCCAAGGATTTGTTCTGTCTGGCGAAACGCCAATGTTGGTTGGACGCCCCGTGATCAAGGCGCTCGACATGACGATCGACTTCTCCCAGCAGAGGATCAGGTTTGGCGATGATGATTGGCAAGACGCTGTTTTTGGCCGCCATGAAGAATATTTGTTGGATCTCACGTCCACCTTTGACTCCGAGCAGTTGAGCTGGGAACCTTCCTTCGATTTGCAACTGGATGAACAGCTTGGTGACTGTGGTTCCTATGACGAGTTCCTGACTGAGGAAGCCATTTACCAAGTTGACGACCACCTCACGCCGGAGTTCACCGTGCCGCTGACCACGAAGCATTGGAAGACCTTGGCCATGCAATCTCAGGCCCAGCTGAACACTCTCAACGCCGCTGTGGACGACGCCCTCAGAGAAGACCACCATGCTCCTCCTCGTGCTCTCTGGGAAGTCTACACGGGTCGTGCAAGACTATCTCAAGTTGCTGAGGCCATCGGAATGACCGTCAAGACGTTCGGCTTCGAGACAGGATGGAACTTCGCGCTGCTGTCACACCAGCGTGCCTTCCTGGCCCTTCAAGATGAGGAGATGCCGGACGAGATCTACTTGTCCCCAAGCTGTGGTCCATGGTCCCGCACGCAGAACATCTCAGCCACCTCCGAACAGCGACAGGAGATCCTCCGGAATCTTCGAGGCTGGCATCACCGCACGCATCTGCAGTTCTGCAAGCGCGTGTACCTCAGGCAGATCACTTCTGGAAGACACAGCCACATCGAGCAGCCAACTACAGCATTCTCTTGGGAGACTTCTGCCCTTCAAGCACTACCAGGCTACAAGGCCAGACATCACCAATGCCAATACGGTGCCGTTTGCATGGACACTGATCGTCAATGGAAGGCCGCCAAGAAAGATACCACCATCTTGACCTCCAAAAGGATACATGAAAGGATTTGGCACTCATCGCACAGCCTTCATGGAGGACTATCTGTCAACCAGCTTTCTGCTCTACCTTGGCTACTGCTTTGGCCAGCTTCGAGAAGCCTCAGCTGTGGGAAAATGCTTTCGCGGTCCGCAAACACTCACAGTACCTCGGCAAGATAGTTGACCTACATGCAACTGGCAAGCAGAAAGCAGAACGCACTTCGAGTTGTTCAAAAGCTCCACTGCAACTTGGGACATCCTTCAGCCCAGGCCTTGGTCGACTTGCTACATTCTCGCGGTGCCTCAACCGATGTGCTCTCCGTGGCCGAGAACTATCTCTGCAGTTCGTGCCTTCGCTACAAGAAACCCAATCAGCCGGCACCGGCGACAGTTCAGAAGGCAGATCACTTCAACCAGTCCATCCAGGCCGATGTCTTCTGGATCAGAGAAGAAGAAATGGCCCGTTCTGGCCATCTTGGACAGTGCCACCAAGTACCAGGTCGCCTGTCAAGTGCACTCAGAACAGACCAGTGGCTACATCGCAGCCTCGGAACGACATTGGATTGCACACTTTGGCACTCCTGAAGAGCTTGTCACTGATGAAGGCCGAGGCTGGCGCTCAACCTGTTCTTCTTCACTCCAGCGATTGTGCGCTTCATGGCCATGAGACCTTTGAGAAGCACCTACATCAACGAAATGTGGCAAAACGGCAATCCTCCAAGGCGAGACAGATCGGAAGCTGAGAAGAGCCTTGTTGCGACGCTACTCTGGCGTCAACCAGCGATTGATGGCAGGCCAACGTTGCTTCTACTGGCGTGATGCTCAGCAGCATGAACTTTGCAAAATTCGTGGGCGAGGCCCAGCCAAAGTCGTTTGTGTTGAAGAAAAAGATGGAAATCCATACGCGTACTGGCTGGCACACAAGACACAGCTGATCAGAGCAGCACCTCATCATGTGCGACCAGACTTCACTGCCATCGAGGACACTGCTGTAGAGAATCTCAAGGATGCCACTCAGACACTTCATCAACTGAAGTCAAGAGGTGTCACTCGCTTCGTGGATCTCAACAGGGCCAACAAGAACGACCTATGGGATGTTGAAGAACATGAAGAAGAGATGTCTGCAGATGAAGGACCTGACTCCAAACGACGACGCATTGAGGAGGCTCCCAACGATGATGATGACATGGAGTACACGCCCTCAGAGCCTCCAGAACCATCAGAGACTACAGGCAATCCTTCCTTCCCGGCACCGGTCGCAGAACCTTCTGAGTCAACAATTCCTGGACAAATGCAGACCGAGCCTCGTGACCCTCATGAACTACCTCCTGTACCAGAACTTTCTGAGCTTGATGGACAATCCGATCAGCCAGAGCCATCTTTAGAACCAGAGCCGCCGACAGTGCCTCACACTCCAGTGCATTTGGACTCAGTGACCTCTGAGGCATTTTGACCACCTCCAGGTCCAGAAACCTTTCAACAGCAGCGACTCCGATTGGATCGACAAGAGACGCTATCCTTCGGACCTCAACGACCACGACATCATGAACAACCGAGCCCGTACCAGAAACCTCCGGGCGAAGCTGTTGAAATGGCCTTCGAAGTACAAGATCTGGATCAATCACGACTGCCATCTGGCTGGGTCTTCAACAAAGCCACGCGCAACCTGGAGCTGAAGCACAAGCTGGCTGATTTCTGGGAAGTCAAGGGTGGCTGTCTCATTACACATCACATCCGACCTCGTTCGAAGAAGTTTGTCCCTTCAGACCAAGCTGATCTACCTGTACCGATCGAGCACTTGGACAACATCCGGGTCACCATCTTCAGAGAACCTGGACAGGATCCTTCCTCTACCACCGATCACTTCAAGACTGAGAACGTGTTCCGGCAACACTCCAGGGTCCAAGGAAGCTCCAAAGAAGCTACCGCCAAAGTGGACAGGCTGCACCATCTTTCAGATCAAGGCCGAAACCCGACGTGAGTTGGGTATGGCTGCAACTATGTCTACAAGCCCTCCAACCTCAGTCCGGCCGATTCGTAAGGCAGCTCAGCAAGTGAAGACGCAGCGACTGCGCCACATCAAGAAGCAAAAATCTGAAATCC